AAAATATTTTCTAAAGTTCGATTTTATAAAATATAAAATATTATATTTAAAATTTAAATATATGCCTTATTATGAAATATAATATTAATTCAGAATATTATATATAGCTGATTGACATTCAAATGGAAAGAAACCATTAAACCGTTTACCTAATAAAAACATTCTGAGATTTAGTTGCTAAAATTATGTGACTGAAATAGAATATATGCCTAATTATGAAATAGAATATTAATTCAGAATATTAAATATTATATATAGCTGATTGACATTCAAATGGAAAGAAACCATTAAACTGAAATACGCATGCAGATTCGGTCATTAATGTTAATTGAAGTTAAAGATAATAGTATTTTGTACATCGAATATTGTCGAAATATTTTATAAAGTTCGCTTTTATAAAATATAAATATTATATTTAAAATTTAAATATATGCCTAATTATGAAATAAGTCGCATTTTTTTTCCTATTTTTATTTATATGTAACGAAATATATTTTGAAGTTGAAGACAATAGTATTTTGTACATCGAATATTGTCCAAATATAAAATATAAAGTTCGATTTTATAAAATATAAAATATTATATTTAAAATTTTAATATATGTCTAATTATGAAATAAGGTCGCATTTTTTTCCTATTTTTATTTATACTTATGTAACGAAATATATTTTAAAGTTGAAGACAATAGTATTTTGTACATCGAATATTGTCCAAATATAAAATATAAAGTTCGATTTTATAAAATATAAAATATTATATTTAAAATTTAAATATATGCCTAATTATGAAATAAGGTCGCATTTTTTCCTATTTTTATATATACTTCATGTAACGAAATATATTTTGAAATATATCGTAGGTGATGACAAAATACTTATATCAGGAAATATATCATACTTATGTAACAAAATATATTGTATCGTATATAAGGAAATATATAAGGAAATATATAAGGAAATTTAATAAACTATATGCCGAGTATATGCATGTCATATATCATATATGTATATTTATATCAATGGCATGTTGTGTAATTATTCTAGTTAACTAAGGTCTTTTAGTTAAAAGGTGTGAGAAGGCTTGTGGAGTTGCCACGTAGGAAATGACATGCATGTAATAAACACATGAACTAAAGGTTTATTTGCAAAAGTTCTCCTCAAATAATAAGAAGGGGATATACAGACGTGACCACGAATCTGTGCATTGGTTCTTTACTTCTTAGGTATGTGATTAACATTCTTGGCCACTAAATTTTTATTCGAGCCTAACTTCTTCGTACCATTTAATTATTATAACCGTGTTTGGTTTATAAGAGTATAAATTAATTTTGTTCAATGCTGACCATTAGATTAATTGATTGTTTGATAGAGGATCAAACAAATATAAGTTGTTTCGTTTCTGCTTTGATACTATTGAAACTGTATTCGCTCGTGTACGGTTTCACCTAATCACACTAAGGAGGAGAACCAAACACGTTATGATTAACTGTAAAGTCATTTACTAATACGCGTCGCAAGTTCAATAGAACCACATAGGTCTTTGCTGATTATATATTCTGTAACGTATTTTACACTAAAAGAACACCACAAAACTATTTTTTTCTAAGATACGCCTCAATTTCTTTATATATGACAAGTTCAAGATATTATGTGAATGAAAAGTACAAAAAGGTTTCAGAAGTTTGTAAATTAAGACTTAAGAGATAAGAATATTGAAAATTCTAAAATATACAACCAATTCAATACATTCCATTCGTGTTCCTTTTGCATATAAACTATGATGTTCTTGACGTGTTGCCAATTATAATCTTATCCAAACAAATTCTTATAAAGCTTTTATTTCTTTGTTCTTATTATCTTTATACACTATATATACAAGAGGATCACTTGTTCACCAAATCTTGGTGTCTCTGTTGATTGCACTTTAAAAAAATAAGAATAATGACGTCATTTGGTTGTTTCAAAAAAAAAATGACGTCATTTGTCTGGTTCGTTAAGCACACACAAAACACTGAAACACGTAATCCAAATGAATTTGAAAAACGACAAGGAGTCTACACACATAAAGAAGGAACGACACATGGTAAGTGAGACAACGGTAAGAAAATCAACACAAGTAAATGCCTAAATGGGAAAGATCTGGAATGTCAATCCAAAAGAAGAAGCAAGCAACATGACAAACCGTTAGAGAACAAAAGCAAAACGATTCATTGTATACAATTAAAGCTACTTCATAGGTAACAAACACCACGTTCTATTCTCCTATCTTTCTCTGATGTAATCTCCAAAACAAGAAACTTACGCAAGGAAACAGATAAAGGCCGTGGAAATGTAAGCATGGTTAGAAATCATATTGTCGAGTGGTGTGAGAGTAGTCATAAACTCATCAGTTTCTACAGTTGTGAAGTCAGTTTCCGGCTTAGTTGTATTATGTGCGTCTTCATGCTACAGTCCTTAACCTAGCAAGAGGCATTGATTTGCTTACAAAAGCTTGATTAGGAAGGAAAATGCAAAAGGAAAGAGAAAAGTAGAGAGCAGAGAGATCATTCTTTAACCTGCATAGCTGCTGCTATTGATAAGAATCCTTGACATCGTTCGAGCAAGACCTTTTCCTCAGCTGTGATATTCACCATTTCGGCCATTACTGACTTCATTTCATCCACCTACAAATGGCATCAAACAATAAAAAGTAAATTGCAAGTATGTAAATTAAACCACTCAAGACAAGTGCATTGACCAACAACCAGGTTCTAGTTTCTGACCAGAGTTACTGCCTTCGTGCCGGTAACTAAAATTTGAAACAATTAAGCATTTTCAAAAAGAAAGACATTAAGAGGATCTTCAAGAATAATTGATTCTGGACATATGCGTATTAGAATGGACAACATCGAGTTTCAACTTTCTATCTTATGATAACTAAGACATGAACATTTACCTTCGGTGTCAACGAGAATATGGAAGACGCCATAGCGTGCAAGACATCAACAGCTGAACTAATGACATGCTTAAGATCTATAATATCAACCTAACAACACAAATAATCATAAAAAGCATACAAAAAGGGACTCTAATGATACAAAATAGGCCAAAACAAACACTTACCACAGCTTTACCAATAATTGGAAGACGAAGCGTGCTGCCTTTCAAGGCTTCAGTTGCTCCTGACAAAGAATTCGAATGATCTCTGTCCATAAGAGACCATTTTTCTAAGTAACCCATCTACAAACCCAAATACAACGAATTCGTTACTATAAACATAGCAACTACCAACACAATTACAGGATAAAACGACATTGGTAGAAGTTCATATTCTCTCACCTGCTCCTTCAAGATGGAAGCTAGTTTCAGTTTCTGCCTCAGCAAGAGCAACCTGATCCGTTTCAGAGTGACAGAATGGCGCAAGTCCAAGATTGATACCCATGCATTCCACAGGTTTCTCTATCAAAAAAAAAAAAAAAAAAGCTGTGGCTTCACTAGAGTGTGTATATTTTCTTGGACCAAGTTAATGACTCAACTATCTATAAGAACCCTATCCTACAGTTCATAGTCTGCTGCAGTGGCTAAAAGCACTCACGATCCAAGCAGGTTCACACATGGCACAACCATAAATTTACAATGACTTAACATAGCACTAATGTGGTAATGTAAATAATACGATACCTCTGCACTCAGCCTCTGCACCAAGAAAGTGGAGTGAGCCCTGGCATTGGCAAACCGCCACTGCAGAAGACGGTTATAGAGAAGCCTCAACAAGTGGGCATCCAAAACCCAATCCTCCCCAATCTTCCCTCTCCTCATATCAGCAGAGAAACAAAGAATCGAAGGAAAGCTGCGGTTATAAGCGTTCATATGCTCAGAAACTCCATTTCTCACTCAACAAGGACTAGAAAATGCCCTAGCTTGAGTTGTTGCCCAAACCTTACTCGGTGAAGCAGGTCGAGTAGTAGCAACACCACAACCTCTAATCGGAGAAGCCATAACACGAGGAGATGATACCAACGGATTATCACCACTGAACCGTTTAGAGTGACTCAACTTTGATGAGATACTACCGATCCTCGAACTCGGGGTAGAGCAACAAAGTGAGCTACCAGGATCCTGCAATTGCCGCCTTAAACGAGTATTAGTCTCTTGCCAGAATGTAGCAGAAGCTATAGTGTTAGGTTGCAAGCTCCTTCTTTGACCACCATTAGTGCTACCAGATGAAACACTATCAGAATCAGTAAAGTCACTCTCATCTCTCAATTACAAATCTAAACCTAGTCTTCCATCAGCAGAAACCCTAGAACTATCATCAATCAACATAGATACAAGCTTGTTCCCTCTATCATCAGAGTCACAATCCACATTTCCTCTCCTGGAAGCGCCAGGCCAGAGCTGATGCTGGTCTGCTGGATTTGAGTTCTCTCTTTGATCTCGAAATGGCGTCGTCGGTTTTCGCCGCTCGGGAAGAGAAAACGACTCTCCTTGGAAGGAAACAGATAAGCTCCTGGTGGAAGTGATGAGCATCTTCGCGGCCGAAGGAGAAGGGGATAATAAGTAGCGAGAGGGACATTTTTGAGTCTAGGTCTTCCGCCATTGTTGTTGGTTTGAGGTTTATTTTGTCGAGGTGGTTTTCTAGTGTGAGTGGTGGAGGTTTCTGTTTGAGGAATCGCAGCTACCATATTATCTCTCTTCTTCTTCTTCTTCGTCGTCTTCGTCTGGTTCGGCTTGTTGTTCTTCTTGGTGATCCTCAGAGTGCATTACTGAGATTTGTCAGACTTAGTCGAGGTGAATCTTCACAGAAATGTGTTCAAAACAAAGATCCCCGTCCCCAATGAGATTTTTGCATTTAACTTGCCTTCACAGCCAAGAGAAGGAGAGGAAGGCGTGGGAGTGGTGGAGGTGGGGTTTCTGTCTTATGTATTAGCTACTTTTTTTAGTATTGTTTTTCAGATTGAAGTCTATTTAATTGGCTAAAAAAAACTAAATGCTCAACAAATCCTTAAACAACTAGACTAGTAATGTGCCGTAACTCTATGTAACTAAATTTTGTCAGGCTGAGGCATAGATAAATGTTCCTTTAGGAAAAAAAACAATTTTGCTGCTCAACAAATCCTTGTTAGATGTGTATATTGTCCTCCAACTGATCTTAAACTCAGCTAAAATCATACTAGTGTACTTGTTAGATGTGTAATATTGTAGTTCATATGACGGAAGTAGACAGATGAGTTAATCATATACTCATTTGGTGTGTTTGTTTGTTTAAAGAAGATTTTAGTGATATGTGATAGTTCTCACCAGTGTTCATATACACGGGTGACACCTAGCGAGTTAATGAAAAATCAGGGATTAGGAGTAACTTAATCGATGAATAGTTTTTGGAATATATATTAGTGTGTGAATTATATTACTGAGAGTCATCCGCACTACAGTGGTACCCTATCAAATACACAGGCAATATGATCTGTTTTTTTACTGATTTTTTTATTAATATATCAAAATTACAACTTTACCCTCGTCTTCTTCCTAGAAACGTGTCGATTGAAAACCCTAATTGCCGCCTCTAGATTTTTTTTTCCGATTCTCTCTGTTTTCTAACTTGTTTCTCTATAATTCTTGGCCAGTTATGATAGATTTTCACCCTAGAACATGATTCTAAACTTAAAATTTAGAATAAACTAGGCTTTCGTTATGGTTTCGAGTTTTTGAACGTTTTGCCCTAAATCGCTACAGTAAGAGAGCGATTTGCGTTTAAACACCGATTAAACGGTCATGGCGGTCGCGTTTTTGAACACGGGCTCTCACTGATTTTCCTCCCTTATTTATAATATTTAGTCTTCCATTTCTATTAATCTTGTGTTCGTGAAAGAAAGTGAAGAACTCAGCAGTTCCATACTGTTAACTCTATAAAACCTTACAGAAACTAGAGTAGTTTTTCATGTTTTACTCTTCTTCTTTTTTCTCATTGATTTTGGTAAGGAAGACGATTGCATGGATTATACTACTTTGGCAGTGAAATGGATAAATTGATTGTGTTAACCATAACCACCGCATATATCAAAACTGTTGGGTAATGACATGCTTATTTATTACTACTCATCGTGCAGGAAGGGCCAGAAATTGATTGTGCTTTTTGTTAGTGATGAAAGAAATGGCTGCACATGTAGAAAAGCTAAAGCAACGAATTTAAATTTGAATCTCAAGATCAGCACAAGTTTGCAAACTTAGTATGCAAGAACATTTTTATTGCAGGTCATTTAAGTTAGATTTCTTAGCATATGGTCTCTTAGTTTTTAAACTAAAAAAAAACTAATAACGAAAATATTTTGAAATTGTATTTCCATCAGGCAAAGTCTCTATTGGTTTGATGATTTGGAATAAGAAAACAACCTTAGTAATTTCTCCTCCTGTTCATATTGTTTCTCATACGAGAACACATAAAACTATAGAGCAGTGAAATAGCTTACGTTTTTTTAGTATAAATGTTAAAAAGAAATAGCTTACGTTAAAAACCACCTAGTTTTCTTTGCCTAAAAAACACATATTGCTTTAAGAATATCTCCAACTATGTATCTTATTTTAAAGAGAGTAAAATTTAAAAATGAAGATTTGAAGGTTGATTGTTCAACTATGAATCCTCAAAAAAATCATTAAATAAAATTATTCATTTGTATTATATTCATAGTCTTTGATGTTAATTTTAAGGTTTGGTTACAATAACCAAAACAACTTTAAAATTTGAAGATTTGAGGTTTTAAAGATCAAAAAATAAATAAAAAAGTATTTTGAGATTTAATTAGAATGATAAATGTTAATTTTTAGTTGCATTGGGCTGATAAGGCCCAACCCAAGAACCAAATCATAAATTGATTTGATTTTGTTTGTCAAAAAAAATTAGACAAGAAGAGAAGCAAAAGTTCATGTCCGAAGCAAAAGTTTGACGAATTCCTGGATTAATGGCGTATAAGTGTAGTGGGAGCCATGTGTCATCTTTAATTACAGAAAAACTAATGAAGACACCAAAAACGACTCTTACAAGATCTTTTTCCAATCATTAGACGTCACATCCAAATCTTAAATCTGAGAACAAAACTTGTTCAACCTTCTTCGTCTTCCCAATCATTTCCATCTTCATCAATCTTTGGGTTCATCAGAGAAAGAGACCCAGAAACCAATCGGTTTAATTTGACTTTCTGGTACGTAAATCCTCTGCCTTTTGTACAGAATCTCTCAAAAGTCTCTTCCTTTTTAAGATTCTCTCCGGTAAAGCCTTAATTTTTATTAGAAGAAACTCACCAAAGTTTCAATCTTTTTTGTTTGTTTTCCACAGGACTCTCTCTCTCTCTTACTCTCTTGTTTGATGGGTGAAGAGATAATCTCAAACGATGAAAACAACGTTAAGACAAAACCAAGTCCAAAGCTAACACTCTTACCTCTAGTCTTCCTCATCTTCTACGAAGTCTCTGGTGGCCCTTTTGGTGTGGAGGATTCTGTTAAATCAGGCGGTGGTCCTCTCTTAGCCCTCCTAGGCTTCCTTATCTTCCCAATTATCTGGAGCATACCCGAAGCTCTCGTCACAGCTGAGCTCGCCACAAGCTTCCCAGAGAACGGTGGCTACGTGGTTTGGATCTCTTCAGCCTTTGGTCCCTTCTGGGGATTCCAAGAAGGGTTTTGGAAATGGTTTAGTGGTGTTATGGACAATGCTCTTTACCCTGTGTTGTTTCTTGATTACTTGAAACATTCTTTCCCTGTTTTGAACCATGTAGCTGCTCGTGTCCCTGCTCTATTAATCATTACCTTCTCACTGACTTATTTGAACTATAGAGGGTTGCATATCGTTGGCTTCTCAGCTGTTCTGTTAGCTGTTTTCTCGCTCTGCCCTTTTGTTGTGATGGCTTTGTTAGCGGTTCCTAGGATCAGTCCTAAGCGTTGGTTGTTTGTGGATTTCAAAAAAGTTAACTGGAGAGGGTACTTCAACACCATGTTTTGGAATCTGAACTATTGGGACAAGGCTAGTACACTTGCTGGAGAAGTTGAATCCCCTGGGAAGACGTTTCCGAAGGCTTTGTTTGGTGCTGTTTTGTTGGTTATGGGATCTTATTTGATTCCCTTGATGGCTGGGACTGGAGCTTTAAGCCCGTCTTCATCTGGTGAGTGGAGTGATGGGTATTTTGCTGAGGTTGGAATGCTTATTGGAGGTGTTTGGCTCAAGGGTTGGATACAAGCTGCTGCTGCTATGTCGAATCTTGGTTTGTTTGAAGCTGAGATGAGTAGTGATGCTTTTCAGCTTCTTGGTATGAGTGAGATTGGGATGCTCCCTGCGTTTTTTGCTCAGAGGTCAGTTACTTAGTCACATGGCCGGATCTAGTCACATCCTAGATGATGATTTATTTATTTATTTATTAAATGTTTATGGCTCTTAAATTCTCAGATTTGGTTCTGCTTAGTCCGCAAGAGTCTGTTTTGGTTATGATTAATGTTCAAGAAATTGTTAGACAATAAATAGGCGCTTTACAGGAAATTATTGATTAGGCGGACACTTGGACTGATTTTTTAAATGCTTAGACGGTCTAAAATTTAACAAAAAAAAAATTGTTTTGTTTAGCAGTGTTTTAACGTTCTTTGTGTGTTGCTGCAGGTCAAAGTATGGGACACCAACGATCAGTATCTTGTGCTCAGCAACAGGAGTCATATTCTTGTCATGGATGAGCTTTCAAGAGATCATAGAGTTTCTGAATTTCTTGTATGCGTTAGGAATGCTTCTTGAATTCGCTGCCTTTGTGAAGCTAAGGATCAAGAAACCGGATCTTAGCCGACCTTATAGAGTTCCCTTAAACACCTTAGGAGCTTTAGTGCTCTGCTTGCCTCCTTCTTTACTTCTCATCCTTGTGATGGTTTTAGCCACCGTGAAGACGTTTTTAATCAGCGGTGTGATCATTGTTCTTGGGTTCTGCTTGCACCCATTCTTGAAACTCGTGAAGGAGAAACGATGGGCGAGATTCATCCCTGAGGAAACAAGACCAGTTTTAGAAGTTCCATCGGAGTTGCAGGTGGATGAAGAACATGGAGATGAGTCTTCAGCTAGCCTTCTCCCATGAACTTTACTCACAAAAGACAGATCAACGAAAACTATGTGATTCTTGGACAAGTCTTAAAAGGAGACATGGACTTGTATAGTTTGTAAGGATGCAGTTTATTTATGCCTTGTTCAGCATTTGGTTTAGAGTACAGAAACGAAAAAATGTGTAGCAACAGTAAGGTGTCTGAGTCAATTTGTCTATGATTACAGTATTATTATGTATATATAAATGTATACATCATAAGCATTATCTGCTATGTGTATGCAGTGAATGTGTTTTCAAAACATGAAACTGAAATAAAACTGTTGTGTTCGAAAGCATGATCGGTCTTGAGGCAAGCCAGATGAAACATTAGTCCTAGGTTCTTAATTTTTTTGAAGAAAACTATATGTACTTAAATCCTTAAAAATTATTTTTAACCCTCAAATCCATTAAAAAAAAAACAATTTAGGTGAAGTTATGAAGAAATTACTTTAAACACCACCCGGCCCTATTTGGAAGGAATCATTTTCTGCAGGTTTTAGTTCTCTCTTTAAATCAAAACCAAACCTGGATATATCATAAGTCCATTTGTTCCATCTCATTTCGATCTAATGGTGGCGACTTTGTTTTCCACCATAGGAGTTTCCATTTACACAGTACGTAGTGACAGTAATGAACATGCAAATGCAGCTATCCATTGTGAGGCTAATACTAAGCGGATCATGCTCATTATCTTGACTTGACTCTAGCTGCAACTGTCAATATGCAGTTGAGTTTAGTCCTTGTGTTCTGTATTGGCCACCAATCTTAATCAAAGGAAATGATTCTTGGATTGTATATTGTATAGATATTTAGGAATTCTGGATTCTAATAGTTGAAATTATATAATATCTCTATAATATTATTTGAGAAATCAGTTTCCTACGTGTCGCGCTCACGTTAACTCTCACGATGGTTGATTACATAGATACCCTTAATGAATTAAAATATTAAATAAGAATGATATTAATAATGTATTTCCTTTTTTCATGATAAGATTTTACTTAATTTTTTAGTTTAAGTTTACTTTTTTTATGTGTCTTTGAGAAACCAGTTTCATACGTGTCACGCTCACGCTCACGTTAAATCTTATGATGGTTGATTACATAGATACCCTTAAAGAAAAATATTAAATAAGAATGATATTAATAATGTATTTCCTTTTTCATGATAAGATTTTACTTAATTTTTTAGTTTAAGTTTACTTTTTTAAACACACATAAATAAAAAAGGAAATATTTATGAAATATAAATCTTTATATAAACAAAATTTAATAATTGTTTCGAAATTTTCCTAAAATAACATTTTTACTGTTTATTTAAGAGATATTAAAAAGGAACTATTATATTTAAGAGATATTAAAAAGGAACTATTATATTTTACAAAAATAAATATTTTGATCAAATAATTTCAAAATCCTATACACTATTAATGAAATGGAAATATTATATTTTACCATTTTTAAAAATTCTTTTAAATATTTAGTTTGCTTTTAAATTTTATGTTTTTATGTTTATGGAACTTAATATATAAATAATCAAAATACTCAAGTAAATCTAAGTTCTCATTTTTAAGATTGTTTAAAATAAGTTTCAGTTTACCATTTAAAAAATCCAAGGCATAAAATAATTTAGAACTTATAAACATTTAATTATTAGAAATATTAATATGTTCTCATGAAATTTCAAAAGTTTATCTTTATACTCATATTTATGTATGAAAATTCCTATTGAGCGTCACTTTACTTTTTATTATTTCTTAAAAATAAACATATATCCAATTAATAAATATATTATAAAATACTTGCATTAAGTAGAATAAAAAATAATTATATTTTCCTTTGAATTAGAAAAATATATGTAAATCAATATACTCACAAAACGAGTAACAGAACGAATCTAACTTATATCAAAAATAAAAGATTTAACTAAAACAAAAACATATGATTTGAGAATAATTATTTATTTATTTTTATACATATAGATTACAGGATGACTCAAAAATATCAATATAGAAAAATAAATTATTAACCAACTGTTATAATTCAGTGTTTTTTGTAAAATTTATATATATATGAATGTGACTTCAGAATATTATCGTGATATTCATTTATGTAATTTTGAGTCAAAATTTCAGTTTATTTTTAATTTCATTATATGTAAAATATATATTAAATTATACACAATCTTACTGAAAATATTGACATATATAAGACGATAACCAATCTTTTTTTTTGTGTTGGATGTGAAAACAAAGAGCTTATTACTAAAGACAATTGGCTTAGAAATGCAAGAGCCTAAACCATTAAAATACTATATCCAAGTCAAAGGCCATGAATTGGCATCATTGTCTGGTTTTAAGTAGCATTGAACATATAAGCTGATAAGACGATAACCAATCTAAATGCAATAATAATCAAAGTTTTAGTATATTTAGAAGAAAAATATTATAGTTGAATTCAGAAAAAAAATAAATGCAATATAAAATACACAAGTGTAACCAAATAGACTATTGACCAAAAAAAACCAAACCGATTAAATATAAAATCTTCTAAATCGTATGTCTAATTAAATAATATAATATTACTAATATAAGTTATACATATAAATTTTAAATTAATTTATAATTAAGCGTAAATATATATGTAAATTAATAAATTAGAATATATTAAAATATATATTTATTTGATAAATATTCATACCCGTGCATGAGCACGGGAAAATCACCTAGTATCTAATTATTCATTGTAAGCAAAAAGTGTATCAGTTCATATAGTAAATACTCATGCGTTAACAATTATGTTAAATCTTCTATTCATTCATTTATTTTTATTTTTTTATTATATATTTGTATCATTCCTGTTTGTATGTGATATTAAACATACCTATATTTTCTATTTTAAATTAAAGCTAGACTTGCACTTGAGAGGTTCTAAACTAAAGTACAATGTTAAATTTATGTCACATCGAAAGGGAAAAAATGGTGAAAAAGTACCAGATTCCCACCTGAGGTTGAGAGGTTCAATACACTAATTAGAACGAGGCATCTTAATAGTGCTCCTTTCTATAGTTTTAGAATTTTTTATAAAGAACATTTTATCATGTAGATTTTTCTTCCAAAAATACGTGATGCAAAACTCAATCTAAGTATTTGAATTCCAATATTCCTTCGTATATTTTGTTGGGTGTGCTCACTGGATAGTCTCATAGAAATGGTTCGAGGCAGGAGCGTAACTGGGTCAATAATCCTATGTTTTCGAACACTTGGAGTCATTAATAGTGATTGTGTAGACGAAGTGTAATTGGTTTGTAGTTATAGTTTTTTTTTTCTGTGATTTCTAAACATGATGAACCAAAAACTGAATTAGCTCACTGTAACGCATTAAGATATATGAACAGATATATCATGTATTCATGTCCCTAATAAACGATCTAGATGGTCCTTTCTGTGTTCTATATTTTTATCAAATTCTCTGCGCATGTTTTGAAGAAAACTATGAAAATTATAAAGCTATAACAGCCTATTACGTCGAATAATTAAGTTCATTTTTACAATTTCACAACTTTTTATTAAAATAGATAAAAGGAACCATCTGTTCCATGGATTTGTCTGTCGTAAAATAGTCTTATCTTTTTAATCAAATATCCTCCACTGGGTTTCGCATTTTGCATATGTCGCCACTACACAATGTATATCAGAGAATATATGCTAAATTTCCTATTGAAAAGGTTCCGACCTAAATAAATAGTTTACATTTTAGTTACTTACAGTGTTCTTACACTCGATCTGACCGAACCCGCGGTTGAACCGATAAATTTGGTGACTCGTAAATTATCCGATTCGAATTTATCAAAAAATCCATAAATTAAAAATCCAATAAAACTTGGTAAAACCCAAAAATTTGGCATTAATTTGTAATCCGACACCGGTTAACCTGATAAACCCTAACTTTTTTACTACATTTATAAAAAAAATTGATTAAATTTTTCATACATTTTTAATCCTACAAAAAATTGAATAAACTACAAGATTTACGATTCTTTACATCTTGATGATGAAAACTATACTATGTTATACAAAGAAAATGAAGAAAATGATGATAAAGAAAAGCTAAAATTTATTCATATGAAATTGCTAGACTATTATTTTTTTGTGTTATTGAAAATTATTGTAAGTTTTTATTTATGATTTAAAATTACTTTATAATATATTTATTTAATTTTTTATTATCTTATTTTAGCTAACCAAAAATCATTTATTTTATGGTAAATAAAAAATGAAATAAAACAAAATTTTAAATATTATATTTTGTATTTTGTATAAAATTTGATATTATCATATATTTTAATGATTAATAATATTAATTCATATATATTATAATTTATTAATCTATTGACACTTGGTTTAACTTCGTATGATCTAATGATTCGATGATTTAGAGAGTAATCTGATTCTGTGTTTGAATCGGGTTACAACATTGGTTACTTAAATACATGCTTATGTTTAAGTTTGTTTTTTTTTTTGAAAGAGTTTCCATGAAGAAAACATTTGGAAGTATTAAGCAAAAAAAAATTGAAGTAAAGAAAAAAAAACTTACTAAATTGCAATACACTACAGAAAAGACAAGCGCATACAAATTAAACTCTACAATATTGTCTACCAGTTAGCACGCATGACGCCTTTTAATCAAAAAGTAGCATAACAATCCATGCATGCGACACTTGAAGTGTGCAACTTATTGTTTTTGTGACCTCACCAGGCGGTGGGTGGATTTTAAAAACTTTTTAGCAGCATGCATTATTAATTTAAAATTAATTAGAAATATTATACGGAGCTTGGGCTAATTATTAAAAAAAATGTTGCATGAATCTCAGTTGACTTGATCAAATATCAAAGGTTACTATTTCCAAATGAAATTATTGAAAATATAAAATTCTATACAATTTATCTCGATTATAAAAAATATTATTAAATAAAATTATTTTAATCAATGAAAGAATATATAATATTTTTAATTGATGAAAAGTCTTAAAAAATATATATAATTGTGTCTAAGAATAAAAAGAATACTATTAAATAAAGTAAAAAAAAAAAACTTAAAACACCAAATAAGTTAATACCGAGGTAGTAACACTTGGTTTACAGTTTTATCTTTCAGTTAGCTAGTTTTAAATTACATCATTAATTTTCGGTTACATAACTTCTACAACTATATTTACACGTGGACGGGATGTTGAGATATATACTTCCTGCATTTATCACCATCCGCTATCATAATCCGATAATCGGATTAAATTCGGAACTTCTCACAACCAATGGCCCTCATTAATCGACATTAATTTTATATTTTAATAAACAATAACTCTTTCGTACTTTGATATTCTTCAACACTTCTCTTTCTTTTGAACTTATTCTTTCAACACTTCTTACGTCAAATTCTCTAGCTTTTTTCATCTTAATTAAAACTTTATTAACCCTATGACAAACAGATCAAACTATTTATATGTTAATATATATTTCCTGTTAACAATACGATCCTAATTCATATTTAAAACTTATCGAACGTGAAACACGATTCAAACGACAACATTATTGAAATGTGCATACATACACAACCATATTGTTCGACTAATTAATACCTTTGCATATTCTGGAATATGAAACCCGAATCTCCTAATTCATTGTACCACTCGGTCGATGAGAGTCTATCCGCACCTTAAATTCTTATAAAGTAACAAGTAACAAACTGTGAAAATATTAAACAAAACATATATTATCCTCACGTTAAATTCTTTTAAAGTAACAACTAATAAACTGAGAAACTATTAAAGAAAACATGTATTATCCTCACGCTAAAACTAACAAGTAACCAACTGAGAAAATTAAAGAACATATAGTGTCCTCTTCTTTTCTGTCCCCACTTTCCAGATTCTATACTACTACGTACTGTTTCTTGTGTGTATATATATAAGAGGCCAAAGAGATTTCAGAACACAAGCTCAAGTTATATAGATCGATAGAAATAGTCTACTAATATCAACTTATATCCTAGGTAAAATACACTATTCCACATAACACTATACATTTATAGCCAGTTTGTGTCTTTGTTCTGATCAGTTCGTGGGCTTACATACATACATACATACACAGTACTGATGGGAAGAACCGGGATCGCCAAAATACCAAAGCTGCTGTTAAGGTCGCAACAACTTTTCTTATCCTTCTTCTTTAATTTCAGTAATCAAATGATATTACCAACAAGAAAACATGTCATAGAAAGTGGGAAAACCCACATAAATTATCGTGGTAATTTCTTAACAAACCAACTTTTTCTTAGAAAACAACTTTATTAAAGGAAAACAAAAATATTAAAACATTCGTCAAAACCATATTAAAACTTACTACAAAACCTTTACCATTCTTTTGTCTTTGTATAACAAGCTAGGTTGCTGTTGAAAGATAATCTAGAAGTAAATGTGGAAGTGAATATTAACAAAAAATTGGACGTCTTATGTAAATTAAGAAAAAAAAAGTAAATATATTTTTATGATAATGATGATATAGGAGTTGGAAGCAAGTTCAAGGACGTGCGGGGATAAGCAGCAAAGCTGCAAAGCTAAATCCTATGGTCGTCCACTACTCTGAAGATATTTCTGATCATAGGGTAGAGATCAATTGTGGCAGCGAAGAGGAGTGGGTCCCACACCCACGTACCGGAATATTCTTTCCGCAGGGACACGAGTCGGTGATGGATGGTGTCCCTGAGGATGCTGCTTCTTTTGACATGACGTTTTGGCTTAGGAACGTCGATGGTGTGGACAAACCTGATCCTGACCATCATTTTCCTAACTGAAACCCCAAAAATGTAACTATGACTTAGTGACGTAAAATCATAATGAGACTATACTATATATGTAACTATAGCCAAATAATCCCGAGGAATAGCGTGTACGCACGTTTGATTACGATAATTTCGTATAATGTATGATGGTTCAGTAGCAATACTTGATTAATACTTCGTTTGCTATTATCCTTCTGTATGTGCTAGTTTATGCATCAACTATGCAGAACATTCTCTCTGATATTTTTTTGTCGTATATTCTCACACCTGAGGTTGAAAGATTCTTGTCAGAAATTATAACAAGGTGTCTTAATAATGCTTACTTCTTCTTTAGTCTTGGATTTAAAACGAGCAAAAGTATTTTGTCGTTATGTTTATCTTATGAAAATATGTGAAGCAGTAATCAATTTACGCACTGGTGTGCTTCGTATTTTATTGGGTGTGTTCACTTTATAGATAAACTTCTCATAGTGGTTGGAGGTTCGAGTGCAGACATAGGGTAATTGGTTTGCTGCCAATTTTAGTTATATGACTTTTGTGAAGATGCAAAAATAATGACTGAAAATGCAGAACTACCGATGGGTTGAAAATTTAACAAAAGTTCCTCACCGATGGACTGATCTCAAATTTAAACACATCCAATGCTCAACTAACAAAAGTTCCCCCGCGCATCTCAATCCTCATCATTATTATTAGATACAAAAAAGTATTACCAAGTAATTTACAAATATTTAAAACATAGGCAAGTGTTTAACTAACTAGATCGGAACAAGTATTAAGTACAAGCCAAAAATTCTAGGGCTTGAACAAGATAAACCAAGTAGCGGATAGGGAAAAACAATAAGTTCTCGACTTGTGCCCATGCCTACTTACAACCAGTGGTTCCCATTCATCAGCATTAATTTATTTAATAAACAATAACCCTTTTGTACTTTGATATTTTTGAATACTTTTGACGTCTTTTTCATAAGAGGAAGATTTTATTAAACTACTGAAGTATACATGGTTGAAATATTTGGCTGGCTGTCATACTCATACCTAACAGCAGCAGACACTAAAGATGGAGGTTTAACAGATCCAGCTCCATAAGCATAACTCTACAGTTTAACGAAACCAAACTAGGAATCAAGACAAAAAACGACACTACAAAGACCCACAGACTGGTCCACAAGAAAAACAAAAAAAACAAAGACCCACGGACCCGTAGCCGCTAATCAGTCGATATGCATAAAGTTCTGAGTTTGCGTTGATGGAGTTAACAGCTTGAGTGAGCTGAGATGAATCCGATCTCAACAGTTTGTCTCAGCTTCTCGTAACGCTAATCCTTCTGCAGTGAGCAGAGACCAATCCAATGTGCTGGTGTTGAGAAGGAGTGTTTTTTGTCTTGATCTTAGATTGCCCACCTGAGCCTTGCAATCTTTCTTTCTTCTTTCCATGCAGCATCTGTCCTTACTACTATGCAATCTTTAGGGATTGGTACTTGACGCTCATAGGATCCATGGTGCTAAACAGCTGGAGCTTAGCCCTGAAAAAGGGAATCACTTTCTTTCACACAAGTTAATCCAACTGCTGACCAAATCTATAAGTCCATTGCTCTCAATGCTTGGTGACCGGAGCCGCTTGCCATACTTCTTTAGCAAAAGAACACTCAAAAACAGGTGAGTCATAGATTCAGCTGCACCACATAGTTTACATTTATCACCATTTCCAATGTGTCAGAGGACCAACTATTCTTCTACACGTAGAGCAGGTGATACCTCTGTAGGTTTTAAACGCTTTTCCTCCAATTTATCTTGTTGTTTCGGATCAGATTTGGAACAGGTTCCGAGGTGATGCATATAAATATTTAGAAGATTTCTAAGTACTTATGATTTATTTAGATAATTATCTTTGTTATTTTAGTACACTTAGGGTTTTAGGATTTTCTTATATATAGTCATTTAGGATTAAGAGTTATATTCAATTTTTGATTAATTAATAAAAATTGAGAATTTTCATTTTGTTCATTTGTTTTAATTAGATAATTGGTAATCTCAATAAATTTAAGAAGATATTGATCTTATGTATTCTTAGAATTAATCAGATCTTTGTGATTGTCATAATTTTTCAAATATTTTGAGAATCAACGAATCACTAATTTTATCCTATAAATTTTTGCGATATCAGGTGGTATCATAGTTGGTGTTTTGGTTTCTTAATCAAAAATTAATTTTGTTGCTCAGTTACCATGTCATTTGAGTAATTTTATCAAATATACGGATATCCTTTTAATTCAACCAACGATTTATACGTTGAGTACAAAGAGTTTTTTGGTCCTGCGATATATTATAAATTGATAATTATGGTGAAGACATGATTATTGTCCAGCAGGAAGATTTATGGAGTCTGTGGGAAAGATGCGTTCAATACAACAAAAGTCAACGTGAGAGATTTCATTGATGTTATCAAAATTGAGATATCAAAGGACATCACGTGCATTATAAGAATATTGGGAATCAAGTGGCTACTCATTCATGGGTAAAGAGACGAGTGACTTTAAGGTGGAGTCGGAGAAAGTCATGAATGTTATTATGGAAGAAATATTCATCAAGATGAATAATAAAAACTGTTCGGCTGTGTTTCAAGTCTGGGGTCAACGATCGAAGAAACTAATTGAAAACAAATACCGAAGAAACTAATTGAAAACAAATACCTACAGAAGAACAAGATTCGAGGACAAATCTTTTTTTACCCTAGTTTTTGGGTATCTATAGAATCAATGAATCCATAATGACATTGATTCTTAGATATTCTTAGAGTAAATAAGAGTCTTTGTATTTCTCAAAACTTTCGTTACATCAGGTGTATCAGAATTGTGTGTCTTTGATTTCTTAATTGAAGAACGATTCTGGTATCATGTTGAAGGGGAACATTTTTTTTTCCAAAACAAAATTTGTTTTCTGAATATGAAACGGTTTGCAGAATAATTATTGGTGATCCAGTTTATGATATCTACAATGATGATAAGATAAACTTCATCAACGAGTTACAAGAGACGAGTTCCTGGATCAGAATCAAATCATAGCACTTATAGAAAACGTACACATGTGCATCCACTTCAATCTTATTAAAGAAGACTTGTTCGTAAGGAGCATGGAGATAGTAAAGGTTGGTCTGATTACATAAAGGATCACATCAAGCCAAAAATTCAGTTCCTTGTGAGGTGTTGCACTAAGGTAAAGTTGTAAAATATTATTCTTATGAAGATTTCAAATTTTGAAGCTTTTAAAGTAGAAGATCATAGTTAAGATTTGAGAACAAATCTTTTCTAACTCGGAGAAAATGATGCATAGAGATATTTGAATATATTTCAAATATTTTAATTATGTAGATATTATTTATTTGACTGTTTATCTAACTTATTTAGAACACTAGTAAAATTAAACCGCATAGCCACTGAGATTTCGTGGCTATAGAGTATAAAAGCCGTGGCTATGTGGAAGAAACCATGTTTCTATGTCGAAAATCTATCGTGGCTATAGCTTTGTGACTAACTGAAAACCGTGGTTTTTCGTGGCTTTTAAGCCACGGTTTTGCCACTATGCTTTCGTGGCTTATTAAGCCACGGTTATTTCTTTTTAGCGTGGCTTTATGGAAGCCACGTTACCAAGCCACGTTATTTGAATATAGTTTCGTGACTTTTGAAGCCACGTTTTGCCGTCACTTTTATATCGTGGCTATTACCCACGTTTTAAATCGTGGCTTTTCTTGTTTAATAACCCACGAAACAATAAGCCATGATTCTGGTTTTTGTTCCTGATTTTGTTTTTTGATATTGTTTTGTTTTGTTTTTGTTTTGATTACCTAATTGATATAGATTTTAGTTTCTAATTAAATCCTAAACACACACAAATTAAACAAAACATGAAATTGCATTAATAGAAAGTTGGTTTTACAAAAAGAGTTAATATTACAAGCCTAATAATAATATGAAACAAATAGTTGAGTTTAAGGGACCAAAAGAGAGTTTATGGTACAAAAGACTTGTGTTGAGGCCAAAAGAGAGTTATGGTCTTGAGACTTAAGTAGGAGCTTACTGCATCGGAGTTTGCTGCTGAGGAGTTTGTAGCTGAGGAGTGCCTTACTGAGTGGATGCTTGTTGGGCTAGAAGAGTTTGGAGAAGCTGATTGACTGCAGCTCTTGTTGCTGCCATGTCCTCCTTCATCGTTGACATGTCTTCCTTCACTGCACCAACATCATCCTTCAATGCACCAACATCAGAAGTGACGCTTTGCAAGTTCGTCTCAAGACTACCCACACGCATCTCAAGCTCAAGGCACACGCATCTCAAGCTCAAGGTTACGGGCAACAGAAGATGGGACTCTTGCAGACGGAGGATGTTCCCTATACTGGGCACTGCCGAGTCCATAAACATGCCCCCTCTTATTCTTAGCATTCTGAGATCAATGACAAAACAAATAATCACTATCACACAAGCATAAAACTACAACAGTCTAAAATATTAAAAACATACAATTACTAATCACACAACATAACCGACAGAAACATAACAGAAGCATAACACAAACACAGAGATAATTAGTTACATACCTTCAGATAAGCTTGGTTTAGCAAGAGGCGAGAATGAGCTGAAGTTTTTGATGGACTTTGAGGTGATCCTTCAGTGTTAGATAGCTGTGTGGCTTCCATCTCAGCTTGAGTAACCAATTCTTCAGCTCGATAGTCCACAAATGTCCCATCTTTGCGTGTGTGTCCTCCTCACAAGATCTGTGAAGGATGGACATTCACCATTATTCTGCACAGTCTGTGAAGACATAAATTAAATTAGAGTTTTAAAAAAAAAAAAAGTTAAAGACAGAAAAATAAAATAGACTTTCTAAAAAATTTAAAAGATAAAGAAAGAACATACCATGATGTATTCATGCCTTACAAAACCACAAGGCCCTGGGTTATGCTTGTGTTCTCCTTTACCCACCGGATCTGACTTGCGGCTTGTAGCAGCTTTCTTGCTCTTCTTCTTGGCTGCTTCTGTCGCCCAATACTCCATTAGTGTATTCCAGTCCTCATCGTTGATGTACTTAAGCTGCTTGTTCTTCCTCTTCTTGG